TCCTTTCAGGATGCATTTACTTAACCCAGATGACAGTTGGAATTTGTTTTATCAAAAAGCATTCGCAGAAAATTGTTTTCCAGTTGAATTTGAGAATGTTGGAAAGGAGGTTGCACTAAACTGCAAAGGATTACCACTTATGATTGCTGTGGTTGCCAAGATTCTCTCTAGCAAGAGGACATTGGATGAGTGGAGAAAAGTAGCTCAAAGTGTGAGCTCATTAGCAGACGTTGATGCTTATCGACAATGCTCAGGAGTGCTAGCTTTAAGCTACAATCATCTTCCTTCTTATTTGAAAGGTAGCTTTCTGTATTTTGGACTTTTTCCAAAAGCTAATGAAATTTCTGTGGGAAAATTAATTAGATTATGGATTGCAGAGGGACTCCTAAAAGTAAAGGGGATGGAGAGATTGGAAAAAGTGGCTGCTAGTCATTTAGATTATCTTATTGATAAAAGTCTAGTTATTGTTAGCAAGCGAAGTATGGATGGGGAAATCATGACATGTTTGATTCATGATCTTGTACATGATTTCTGCTTGAGAGAAGCCGACCGCCAGAGTCTTTTGTATATTGAGAATACAGATAATGCTGGAGCTGGATTGGTTTTCCCTCAAGGTTGTAGGTGGATATTAAGAAAATCAGAGCGCTCCACTCATTTTAGCAGTCGATTCTATAATCTTGATCATAGCAAATTACGTTCGTTGTCTCTTTACCATTCTGATTTGTACCTTAACATAGCACACTTTAATTTCAAACTTCTTAGGGTATTGGACATGGAGGAAAATCGTTTTTTCGATTTCCCCATAGCTATACTAGACCTAGTTTTTTTAAGGTATTTGGCATTGACGTTTAAAAGGTCTGGACAATTACCAATCTCTAAACTTCTGAATTTACAAACTCTCACTGTTCGGCCACTATCATATATTAGTGATTGGAGCGTGTCCTTACCAAATGATATTTGGAAATTATCTCAGTTAAGGCATCTCCATTGCTGGTGTATGTATTTGGAATCTCCTCAGACAGTATCAGGAAATAAGTTGAAGAACTTGGTTTTGGAAAACATACAAACTGTTTCCGGGTTGACGCCTTCTTGTTGCACAAAGGAAGTATTTGAAGGGATTAAGAAAGTAAAGAAATTGGAAATTGCTGGTAAAGCAGAGGAATTTCATAGTAAGAAGGGATGGGAAACTAATCTTAAATATTTAAAAGAGCTCGAGGCACTAAATGTTGCAGTTTGGCACCGTCTTGCCATGTTCAGTTCCAACGCTATGCCGCGTTCAATAAATCCATGTCCAGGTTCTTTCCCACCAAATCTCAAGAAGTTGACACTTAGCGGTACTTGTCTTCCATGGAACTGCATGAACATTTTTAGCAAGTTGCCCAATCTCGAGGTGCTAGAATTGAAGGATCATGCCTTCGTTGGCATTGAGTGGGAAGTAACAGAGATGGGATTTCCAAAATTGAAGTTCTTACTCCTTGAGCATCTGTTTCTTAGTTATTGGACAGCCACCGATGATTACTTCCAATGCCTTGAGCGTGTATACATCAGAGATTGCGTATACTTACAAGAGATCCCAGAAGGATTTGCAGATAGTGTGACGCTGCAGCTAATTGAGTTACATAAATGCTGTCTTTCTCTGGTGATTTTTGCGGAGCAGATCCAGGAAATGCATGAGGAATTGGGAAACAACTTGCTTAAAGTTTATGCCTTTGAATCATGTAAGTAAATCTCATCGACAATGAACTTTCAGTACTCACTAAGTGTTTTATTTTTTGTGTTAGAGCATTAGGTTAGAATTAACCTAATGACTGTGATAAGATTAAGGATTTCTTCTGTTTTAAGGGTCAAATGTTTTCACCAAATAGAAATGAGATAATTATGCTTTCTTTCATAGGCTTTTCACAATTGTTTTTTAAGAAACAAATGATTTTCTGAGAAGTGAGAACAGGAACAATGTTTTGTCTGCAATTTTCTGTTGTGATTCTTTTGCAGTTCGGTCCCCAATGTTTTTCTCTATTTTCATTTAAAGCAAACCATAACAGGGTTCAATTAATTGATCCCAAACACTAGATAAATTCCATTTACTGAACGCAACTACTTCAGTTCTTCAGCATGAAGGAGTAACTCTTTTCTTCAAGCTGGTTCGAATGAAAATGCAACGCTCGAAGTCAATCAGATGAGAGACTGTGTAAAATGGAAATTCAATGGAATCTTTGCCGGTAAGACGCATTTCACTGGTTTTTTTTTATATTCCTTATTTTACATTTTGTTATGTCTGGCAATTCGATACATGTTGATTGTCTGAAAATTCTTTTATGGTTGCTTNCCATAACAGGGTTCAATTAATTGATCCCAAAACACTATACAAATTCCATTTACTGAACGCAACTACTTCAGTTCTTCAGCATGAAGGAGTAACCCTTCTCTTCAAGCTGGTTCGAATGAAAATGCAACGCTCAAAGTCAATCAGATCAGAAACTGTGTGAAATGGAAATTCAATGGAATCTTTGCCGGTAAGACGCATTTCACTTCTCTATAAATTCTAGTGGTTTTTTGATATTTCTTATTTTACACTTTGTTATGTCTGGCAGTTCGATACATGTTGGTTGTCTGAAAATTCTTTTATGGTTGCCCTCTGTCAATGCAGTAATTGAGCCATTTTATGTTGTCTTTATTTTCTTTGATAAATTGAGCTCATACTATCTTGTACAGCTTGCTTATGTTCTTAATGTACATTATATACATGGAAGAAAGAGGCCTGATTTCAAATTGTAGGGAGATTTGTGAAAGTACGGGGGGTGGGGGGTGGGGGGTGAATTGTATCCTTTTTAAAATCTTAGTCGACTGCACAGAAATGGTAGTCAACTAAAGCAGATGTTCAAGCACAACTAGATACTATGCAGAAAGATATATTGCAGGAAATGTAAATGACACGCCATGTTCTTATACTGGTTCGAAACCAATATAGTACTTAATCTAGTCCCTTAGGTTGCAAGATGGTTATCTCCGTAAGCTCTTTGGTAATGACTTGAGTACAATCTTTGGTGCTTTTCCTTCGCTCACCACCAACAGTTTCAGCATTGGTTTTCCTAATCGCTCACCAACGACGACACTTTGATACAGTGCCTCTCTACTTTTCTCTCTGTTTTTTTCTTAACAAGTACTACTTTTTCGCCTGGTCAAGTTGCTTCTGTGATTGGCACTCCTTTGTCGCTATTTTTGTGCCACTGCTAAAGTTAATCAAGTTGAGTCCAGCAGGAACTAGCAACCTCTGGAGGACGAAATTCCTCTATTCTCGATGAATAAATTAGATTTTGCGACATCCTAGAAACAGGACTAGACACTTTACCTATAGAAGAAGAGGCGACAAGAATGGCACCTGAGTACATTCAGAATCTCAATTTTCCAGAAAAATGCATTCTGCTCTTATAGACCTATATTTTTAGCAGGTATGGAAATCGGAGCAGACAGGTGAAAGTGGGATAAATATGCTACTACCACGGTTATAGAGGTTCAAGAAAGACATGAACAACTACAGTGGTGATGTGATACAAGAAGAGAGGATAATCTGAATCAATGACATGCACTATATATTTAAGAAGCGGCCAGTGATGGAATTTAAGTGACATTAGTAGTGGTTATTAGTATCACTTGCACTAGACAAGCTAACCAGACTCATCATTTCCTTGATTCTTTGTGTTCTTATTCTTTTCTTATTTTACTTGGCTATTAGAAGAACACTGTCCATGTTAATTTCTTCTTTTCCTTTTCTTTGCTCTTGCCCCGGCATAATGGTTTCTTCATCAACGGACTCATGAATTAAATAGCCTTTTCCTTTTCCGTCAACTATACAGCTGCTAAAAACTTGTAGGCTAGCTAGTTACAATTGAATTTGCTAAGTAGACATATCATGGTATTCAATTATCTATCTTAAAGTAGTAGAAAACTAACAAGATTAACAAGACAATAGTGCATCTATTGAATTCCTTGCCAATTCCGATTTCAGCAACAACTATTATCTCTAGCACAAAACTTCCAATAGACTCGATCGTTCAGCATGTTGTTCTCATGAGTTAGTTCAACTCAACAAAAAGGCTGGCCTGAGGGTGTAATCCAGCATCTTTCACCTCGCCCCACAAGCACCCAACCTTCCTTTTGCTCTTCTTGGACAGAGCAAACTTCTCTGAGTATACACTGTCCGAGGGAAGTTGGACATAAGGCTGTACTTTTCAACCTCCAAGCATCCCAGAGAATTAACGTAGTCATACAGAGATTGTATGGTTGTAGTACAATGAAATCTCCTCTCCTTGCGCTCACCGGTAGGAAAACCGCACCAAACCGAAAAATCAAACCAAACCGATTAAAAAATCCGACTAGGTTTGGTA